CACCCTGCAGCACTTGTGCTGGACAAGGATTTGGGAGAAGAAAAGTTACTAGACTGACAGACAACAAAGATGCACCAATTGCTTATCACAATGACAGATGAAGAAGTTGTGCAAATGGTACAGCAGGGGGAAAAAAAGATTATTAAGAAGCCAGTGATTATGAAGATGAGGAGGAGAGTATTTCAGAAAAAAAACTATCAATAAATGCATTCAGTTGGCAACAAATTTAAGAGGATTAGAGGAAAGGCATTTACTGTATAACTTGGGTCAAAACCCTAATTTTTTGGTAAAAAATGACACAGTAAAGAGCAGTGGTCAGCATATGAACAGGTCATTGCAGTTTGCCATTTTTTTAAAACTTGGGAGGTGTGTGTTGGCAAGCTTTTGCCCTACTGGGCTGGGAACTAACCACTGACACTCCAGAACATTTTATGTACCTAGAGTGTCTGTAGGCACAGAGCCCGTCAGCTCCTAGTAGCTGCTGTTCGTCATTCTGGGTCAATACCATTGGCGGGAAGTGGCGGACAGCATGTCCCTTGGACTACACTGCTTTCCACAGCTCCTATTGGCTGGGAACGGTGAGCAGCAGCGAATGGGAGCGAAGAGACTCCATGCCTACAGAAGCTCCAGGTCAACAAAATATCCCGACACGCCAACGGCTTACAATGATGAGCTGGGACCAGAAGTTTGCAAACCCCCGACACAGTTGGCTTATGAACAGGTCACTGCAATTTTTACCTTTTTTTTTTTTTTTAAACTTCGGAGGGGTTGGCTTATGAACGAACAGGCTTATGATCAAGTATACAGTAATTTCTGAGCAAGAGATTGTGTCTCTTTATATGATACTAGAAAAACTCATTTAAGTACAACCAAGCTACATGATACAAGCCAAGCTGGAAGACTGGCTAAATGTAGCAAAGAGGAGCAATGAGCAACACTACAGTCAGAAATCCTCTTGCCTCAACTCCATCTACCCTAAATATACCTACACCAGAGAACCGAGATGTAGCTCAAATGCCTATGGTGGGAGAGGTAATAATTTAAATAACTCTCTGGCAGAGGAATGGAGAGAGAGAGTGTTCTATTGCAGTTCATTTTAAAAAAAAAAAGGAAAAAAATATGTATAATAAAGTAATGTTAAAAGAATACAACATAAATGATACCATTCTGAAAGATGTTAGCAATTATTAGCTGTTAGTACATATTCCAGCTGAAAGCAGCAAATCATACCTTCCAGGTAATATAAAACATTTACCTCCAAGTTCTTTACAGACCAGTTGTTTATGTCACAACAGTTAAAATACAAGAGTAAAACGGGAATCAGAATTAACAGATTTTAACAAATCACTGTGTAACATTTCTAACTATGTATGATTCAAAGTTATATTTAAATGCATTCCCAACTCAAACATTTCTAAGCATTCAACATGATCCCTTTTATTTAATTAGTCCATTTTATCAGAAAGCATCTCAATCAACTCAGTACTAGAAACCTGTCCACTCTCTGAAATAATAATTCCCAATACCCAGAACTAAGTAGCATATTCTTTCAGCAACCTTTAAAGCTAAGATGAGATTTAAAAAAAAAAATCAAAGAACATTAAGAGATTTGTATGAAGGTGGATCAAAAATTATATTCTACTGAGTCATTCTGAAGCAGTTAATATTGGCCATGTATTTAAGGATTGTTTTGAGGGAAGAAAAGGAAAAAGCCACTCTTTGCAATCTATCTAAAAACCCTTTCACTATCATTTACTAAGTGTCATCAGAGCCCTTACTGTACTTTATTTGTACATGTAAATGGTAAACCATGTCATGGGAAGAAGTACACAAAATAAAGGAATGGGATCTTTTTGTAAGCAACACTTAACATAATCATGCTCTCATGCGCATTTGGAAACTACAGAAATGTAAATAATATATAAGCATATTGCTGACCTTGGTAAAGTTTCTAGGCAAGCCATATCCGATTTTCTGTGAATAATAAGAAGCATTCCAAATACGTGTGTGTGTTCCTTTGTATCATACTACTCTACCTTTGAGTAAGAATACAAAAGACTATTCCTATACTTATTATATTCTTTATTTTGTAGCAGCTATAGCTCATTTGAAAAATATAGTTTTCCAACAAATTAGAAATCTTAACATACACAGATTGCTCCTTAATACAGGCAGTCCCCGGCTTACGTACAAGATAGGGACTGTAGGTTTGTTCTTAAGTTGAATCTGTATGTAAGTCGGAACTGGTGTCCAGATTCAGCCGCTGCTGAAACTGATCAGTTTCAACAGCGGCTGAATC